GCTGACAAAGGACCTATATCCAGAAAATATAAAGAACTCATAACACTTAATACTAAGAACACAAATAACCCAACCAAAAAAAAAAAAAAAAAAGAGCAAAAGATCTGAACAGACACCTCACTAAAGAAGATATATACCTGATAAACCAACACACGAGAAGCAGCTGTGCATCATTAGACATCAGAGAAATGAAAAGCAAAACCACTATGAAATACCACTTCACACCCACTTTCAAAAAGACAGTGATAACAAGTGATGAGGATGTCAAGAAATTGGAACCCTCAAACATGAATATCAAATGGTGCATCCACATTGTAAAACAATGTCTTAGTCCATTCAGGCTGCTGTAACAAAATACCATAGACTAGGTGGCTTATAAACAGCAGAAATTTCCTGGTCACATCTGGAGGCTGGAAGTCCAAGATCTGGGTACCAGCATGGCTGGGTTCTGGTGAAGACCCTCTTCTGGTTGTAGACTCCCAACTTAATGTTGTACCCTCACATGGCAGAAGGGGCAAGGGACGTCTCTCAGGCCTCTTTTATAAGGACACTAATTCCATTCCTAACCATCTAATCACCTCCAAAAGGCCCTACCTCCTAATACCATCACCTGGGGGGGGTCAGAATTTCAACAAGAAAATCTGGGGGGGACACAAGCATTCAGACCATAACAAACAGTACAGCAGTTTTTTTAAAATGTTAAGCACAGATTTACCACATGACCCGGTAATTCCACTCCTAGATACCTACCTAAGAAAAATGAAAACATTTGTACATATAAAAAGGAGAACACAAACGTTCATAGCGGCGTTATTCATAATAGTCAAATAGTGGAAACAACCCAACTATCCATTAACTGGCGAATGGATTAAACAAAATGTGGTACATTCATACACTGGAATAGTACTTTTTTTTTTTTTTTTTTTTTTTTGCGGTACGCGGGCCTCTCACTGTTGTGGCCTCTCCCGTTGCGGAGCACAGGCTCCGGACGCGCAGGCTCAGCCGCCACGGCTTACGGGCGCAGCCGCTCCCACGGCATGTGGGATCTTCCCGGACCAGGGCACGAACCCGTGTCCCCTGCGTAGGCAGGCGGACTCTCAACCACTGCGCCACCAGGGAAGCCCAGAATAGTACATTTTTCAGTAATAAAAAGGAACAAAGTACTGATACTACCACATGGAAAAAAGCTTTTCAAAGAGATACCCTCATTAGTCATCACTGAAATGCAAATTAAAACCACAATGAGATACCACCACACTCCCACTAGAAGGGCTAAAATTTAAAAGACAAAGACGGACAATACCAAGTACTGGTGAGGCTATGGAGCAACCAGAACCCTCACAGACAGCTGACAGAAATGTAAAATGGTGTAGTGGGTTTGAATAGCATCCCCCAAAAAGATATGGCCAAGTCTTAACCACCGGTGCCTGTCAGTGTGATCTTATTTGGAAAAAGGGTCTTTGCAGATGTAATTAAGTTAAGGACCTTGAGGATAATGAAATTAAGATCATCTTGGATTTAGGGTAGGTCCTCAGTGCAATGACTAGTGTCCTTATAAGAGAAAAGAGACAGAGATTTAAGACACAGAAACTCAGAGAAGGTAGCCATGGAAGACTACAGCAGAGATTGAAGTTATACAGCCCAGGCCAAGGAATGCCTAGAGTCACCAGAAGCTGGAAGAGACCAGGAAGGATTCTCCCCTAGAGCCTTCAGAGGCCCCATCAACACCTTGATTTCAGACATATCTCTAGAACAGTGAGAGAATACATTTTTGTTGTCTTAGGACACCAAGTTTGTGGGAACCTGTGCCAGCAGCCCTGGGAAACTAATACAAATGGGAGAATCACTTTGAAAAATTGTTTAGCGGTTTCTTATATGGTTAAACACAGAACTACCATAGCACACACCAAGTGGACTCCTGGGTATTCATCCAAAAGAAAAGAAAATGCAGACTTATACATGAGTGGTCATAGCCTCTTTCTTCATAATAGCCCCAAACCAGAAACAATCCAAATGTTCAGCAACTCGTGAATGAATAAACAAATGTGCCAGAGCCACACAGTAGACAATTAATCAGCAATATAAAGGAATGAGATACTGATACACGCAACAAAATGAATCAATCTCAAAAATCATTATGCTGATTGAAAGCAGACAGACCCAAGAATATATACAGTATACTTGCACCTATATGAAGTTCCAGAAAATACAAACCATCTACAGTGAGAGAAAACCTATCAGTGGTTGCTTGGGAGCCAAGGTGAGGGAAGAGACTGACTGCAAACCAGCAAGAAGAAACTATTAGAAGGGATTAAAATGTTCTCTGTATCAACTGTGGTGGTGGTTCCACAGGTGTTTTTATCCATCAAAACTCACCAAATTGTACACTAAACGGATGCACATTACGGTACGTAAATAACCCTCCTTTAGAAAAAGTGAAGATAATTCATGAGTAAATGAACATTTTATCGTTTTATATTTAAGATTTAAAACTTAATTTCCTATACTTTGCTCCAACCAGTAATATTTCATAAATAAATTTTAAATAAAGATCAAAGAAATTTTTTAAGTAAACAGGCAGACAACTTGCTGTATCATTTCAACATGTTTTACAAGGAGAAAATGGAAAAAAAGCTTTGGAGTCAGAAAACCTCATTTCACAGAGCAACCAAGTGGCCTTGGGCAAGTTATAACTTCTACAAGCCTCCATTTCAACATCCATCAAGTGTGAATGACATTAACAACTACCTCACAGGCGACAGTTAGGGTTTCAATAGAATAAAAGCTCCCTTGTGCAGGGATTCTATCTTAGCCAAAATCAGAATCCCTGTGTCGGGCAAATAATAGCTGCTAAATAAGTCTTTACAGAAGAAATGAATAACTTTCATTGTAAACCCAAAAGGTAAGAAAGACATTACACACAATACCACTTTGTGACATCTGTTTCTTGGAACTGCTGTAGACTAATGCAGAAGGATCTTTCCCCTTTGTACCAATCTTTATATACTGCCTTTATCACAGACTCAAGCATGGAAACTTCAGGTCCCTGGTGAAACTTTGCTATAACTCGGGTCATAATAGAGCACATTTTATATTTTAACTCCATAGAGGTATTGCCCTAAGACAAAGTGAGTTCACTTGTAAGACTCTAAATTCTATGAGAGCACAAACAGTGTCTATTTCACTTACCAATGGTTCTCACATCCAATAATTGCCTGATACAGAGTGAGCAACAAATAGCATGTATAAAGGCCCTGTAACCAGATAAAGCACAGGACAGAGGGACTTCTAAGAAGGCCAAAGTGGCTGATGGGCAGAGAGCAGGGAGGGTGTCATGTCTACTGAGGCTGTGGATGATGCAAGTAGGGTCTAGACCATGCAAAACAGTGTGGTCATGTGAAGTTTCCTCTTTATCCTACAGAAAACCATGATAGATTCTTTTTTTTTTTTGGTCGCACTGCGAGGCTTGCCGGATCTTAATTCCCAACCAGGGATTGAACCCAGGCCACCGCAGTGAAAGTGCCTACTCCTAACCACTGGACTGTCAGGGAATTCCATGAAGTTTTTTTTTTTTTTTTTTTTTGCAGTCCGCGGGCCTCTCACTGCTGTGGCCTCTCCCGTTGCGGAGCACAGGCTCCGGACGCGCAGGCTCAGCCGCCATGGCTCACGGGCCGAGCCGCTCCATGGCATGTGGGACCTTTCCAGACTGGGGCACGAACCCACGTCCCCTGCATCAACAGGCGGACTCTCAACCACTGCGCCACCAGGGAAGCCCTCCATGAAGTATTTTTAAACAGGTGGTTGGCAGAGGATGTAGGAAGGAAAGGGCCATGATTAGATTTGCACTTTTTTTTTTTTTTTTTTGCAGTACGCGGGCCTCTCACTGTTGTGGCCTCTCCCATTGCAGAGTACAGGCTCTGGACGCACAGGTCTCAGCGGCCATGGCTCACAGGCCCAGCCGCTCCGCGGCATGTGGGATCTTCCCGGACCGGGACACGAACCCGTGTCCCCTGCATCGGCAGGCGGACTCTCAACCACTGCGTCACCAGGGAAGCCCTAGATTTGCATTTTGAAAAGCTCACACACTACAGTGTAGAGAAGAGTCTTGTGTGGAAGGAGGGACAGAAGGGGAGCAAGGAGTGTTTGGGTGTAAAGTGAATAGAGACCAATAAGGAGACTATTGGAACGGTCCATTGAAGAGATAATGGTAGCTTGGTCCAAGGTAGTGAAGATGGAAACAAGTGACCCGATTACCAATATATTTAGACAAATAAATAGGACTTGATTTGCGGAATGAGGGAAACACTCAATTCTTCTGGGCCTCAAGTCTTCATCTGTAAAACAGGACTCTTGATACTCCACCTGTATAATATCTAACTTGCAATCTGTTGCAATAAGAATATGAAATAATATAAATATTATGAAAACGCAGAGCCTGACACGTAATAAATGCTAAAAAAAGAAAAATTCTATTACTATTATTATTGTAATCTCATGGAAGAGCAAGTGCTACAGGGTGAACCCCAAAAGTAGAAAATGGGATTGTAGTTAAAGATCCACATCCACTGTGCCGAAGGCACAACATAGACAACTGTTCCAAATACACACATCTGACCGCACAGATTATTTCACCTGAACCAATGTCAGTCCTCAGAAATCATTACCGAAGAAGAAAGCACAACTGATATGATCACAGGCACCTGAGAGTCCGGTAAACTGAGGCACATGGGTAGCTACAAATTTAACCAAGGAATGAGGTGCAGAAGCAGGACAAGGAAATGGTGTCTTGATTCTCATGTGGCTGGTCCATTGGACCAGGCCTGCATCCCGAGCAGCACGAATTTAGAGCCCCCGAAGTCTCTGGCTCCCTTGCTGACAAGGCCTTGTCATCCCTTGGCTTAAGACCGTGGATCCGCTAGCCTTTCAACCAAGGCCTTCCGGTTCCCAGCCCCCAGCTACAAGTGCCCGAAAGATCCCAGCCTCCGGAGAGCCCGACATACCTTAGCTTCGCGCTCTCGTTCCTCGGCTGTCGGGGTCCGCTTCATGCTGCCGATACAGCAGCCTTCGCCACTGCTAGTCGCGTAGCTTTCTCGCCCTACACCCCGCCTCCTCCATGTAGTTCTCTCTGCGTCCTGCTCCCGCCTACCGCCATTCTCCCTCGGAGCCGCGAGAACTACCACTCCCAGGATGCACTGCGGCGACGCCGGAATGCGCCTCGGGGTTGGAAGCTAGAGAATTTCCCGGGTCCGACAGCTGGCGTGCTAGGGCCCGAAGAGAACTACATTTCCCAGGAGGCAACGGGGGCCAGCCATGTTTTTCCCGTGCTCCTCTCGGACGGCCGCACCACACGCCGTCGGCGCTATAGCAACGGTAGCTAGCGACGGGGCGAGAGTGGCGGTGAGTACTCCCGGGGAATAGATGGGGCGCAGGTTGCCGCCCCGCTACCTGCAGCACGGGCCGGGGTCCTGGGGTCTGCTCTACGTCCTGGAGAAGCCCTGGAGTTCTACTCGCGTGAAGAGAAGCCAGGCTCGAGACACCTCCACCTCCTCAGGCCCGAATCACAGCCTGCCCATTGTCCCCACCCCCAGCACCGGTTTGAAATTTTCTGTCCCAGCCCTAAACCCTAGCTGATGAGCGTTGAGGCTAATTGCCGTGCTTCTCCAGGTCCTTCTTCAAGTAGAAGGTCACACAAACAGTTCGCTTATTTGCCCTGGATTAGGAATTGGTTGGGAGACCCTAAGCCTCTTGAGTGACCTATTGTTTGCTTAATTTTTACAGTTATTTGTTTATCGTGATGACCCCATAGCCTCTTAACTCCATGTAGGTGGAGACTTTGTTTACTATTTTAGTCTCAGTGCCAGGTATTCATTTATTCATTCCATAAACATTAATGTTGGCGCCCACCCTGTGCCAGGCACTGTTCCCGACCAGCTGTGAACAGGACTGATGCCGGTCTCAAGATGCTTACACTCTATTAGTGAAGAGGAAGTAGTAATGAACCAGTAAATTAGATAATTGCAGATCGAGATGATTGCTGTAAAAGAAATAAACAGCGCTGAAATTGCAAGAGTATTCTAACATAGGATGCTCGGGGAAGGCCTCTCTGAAAAAGTGACTTTTCAGCTGAGTCCCAAAGAATGAGGAGCCAGCTGGTGCAAAGGCCTCGATCAAGACAAGGGGTACCATGGATTTGAAGAACCTAGAGAACAGTGTGAGTGGCACACAGTGAGCCAGGAGAGATCGCATGACACGGTGTTAGTGAGACATCGCAGCACTGTGCAAGGTCTCTCAACCTCAACGCTATTAACAGTTGGGGCCAGATAATTCCTTTTTTTGTGGTTCCTGTGCGTTATAGGATAGTTAGCATCATCTCTGGCCTCTAGATGCCAGTAACACTGGTCCCCTGCTTCCCAGCTGTGACAGTCAAAAATAGGATCAGACAACAACTTCTTAAATGTGTGACCTTGGGCAGGTTACCTAAGTTGTGTGTCAGTTTCTTCATTTGTAAAGTAGGAAACATTTTGAGTAACAACCTCACAAGGATATTGTGAGATATTTAATTAATTCACATAAGCAGAGCACTTAGAAGAGCACCTGGCACGTTTTAGTAAGCATTCAATAAATGTTAACACCATCATCATCATCACTGTTATTATAAAAGCCACCATAGCTCTATCATGGAAAAGTTATCATTTTCACAAGTGTCCTGTGTTTAAACTTCTTGCTAATTTGGTTCCTAAATTGACCTCTCCTGTGGCAGTGTTTCCATAAGAAGTAGATGATCTCCCAGGCATATGTCTATTAGTTGTTTATGTCACGGTAAAAATGCACTGGTCCGAAATCTTTGATGAGTTATAATGAAAGTTATTAACCTTCTCTCTAAAAGATGATGCATGTATACATATGCATACAAGATTTTGGAAACCATCTCTGGCTCCACAGACCCTGAAGCCCCAAGGGCTCCATTCATTCATTCATTCATTCAACAACTATTTAGTGAATGCCAGCTATGCACCCAGCTCTGTGCCAGGCTCTGAGAATACAGAGGTAAACGAGACAAATCAGCTTGCTACTCTCTCAGACTTTACGTTCTAGGACCAATGTGCTAGAGGTTGGGAACCTCTGCCTTAGGACATCTTCATTGGTTTTTTGCATTACTAAACATTGCATGGACCACTCACATCCGCATTTAAAACTAAGTTACTGTGATGCATCTCTGTAAAGAATGGAAACTGTAAAAATGCCACAGTTAGCTGGACAGCATGTATGTGGAGGTAGGAAGCCCTGGGACTTCCTAGGAAGTAGGGACCTAGACCTCGTGGCAACAAAGGACACTACAAAAACAAACCCAGCTGGTGAATTTATGAAACCTCTTTCACAAAACTTGGAACTACCCACTCCTTTATGCATCAAGCTGAAGATTAATATTCAAGTGATATGAACATCCCAGGCAAATGTGCTAAATGCCTTTAATTTACCATCTCACTTACCTTTAAAATAACTCTGTGAGATAGGAATTGTTTTTTCCTTTTTTTTAATTAAGGAACTGAAACTCAGCAAGATTAGGTGACTTGACCGGCCAGTAAGTAAGAGAAACAACCATTTGAATCAAGTTCCTGACTTGAGTTTTTTCCAAATACCTTCTTTCTTTGGGGAGCAGAGAAGGGGATGGAGGATGGAGAGGAGGTATTTCTTAAATTGGGGGAGTTTGTTTTTGTTTCAGATAGAGCAAAAAGAAGAAGAGAAAAGGAAGAATGAGAATCTTACCTCATTTCCTAAGCAAACTATAGGAAATATACTGTTGAAAGGACCACTGGCTCCACGATTGAATGTAGTATTACTTTTTTTTTTTTTTTTTTTTTTTTTGGT